GTTACACTCCAGCTTGCTGGCAATATTACAGTGTAATGCAGGACAGCCTCAAATGGTGACAGCCGGATGTGGGTGCCCTCGGTGGACCGTGGAGTGGGAACACGGGGGCAGCTACCCTGAAGCTGTGACATGCCCCATCACGGCCCTTTACGGCTTCCCCCCGCCCGATCTCTCTCACTGGCTATTGAAATCTCCACTCCGGTCTGACGGCGGCCTCCAGCGCCCACCTGGTACATCTCAAACCAGCCCCTTGGCGCTTTCTCCCAGAGCCAACGGGGCAGAAAATGAGGGGGCAGGGATGAGGAGGTGGCAGAGAGACAGACACTTTTAGATTCCTCAACAAACACTTTGTCCAAACCATGGGAACAGCCCTGGGCTCTAGGACGGCTCCCCAATAAGCCATCTTCAAGGGCCACCATGAAGAAGAATTGCTGGACAAATGCACCACGAAACCCATGATATACAGTGAGGATATTTTCCTCCTCTGGACGGACAACCTAAACTCCCTCACGGATTTCCACCACAACTTCAACCACCACCGCCCCATCCATCAATCTCTCTCTGGAACACATCCGCACCAGCATCAACTTCCGGGACACCGCCATCAGCTCCAACAACGGAACCGTACAGACAACTGTCTGCAAGAAACCCGCAGCTCATCACCACACCTACCTCCACAGATCCAGTAACCACCCCAGACACACCCAGAAATCTGCTACCTACCGCCTGGCCCTCAGGTACCACAGAACATGTTCCGAGGAGAAAGGCCTTGACGTATGTAAAACCTCCTTCACCAAACAAGGACACTCCACCAGAGAAGTAGATCACATGATGGAATGGGCCACCCAAATACTCCGAGAGAACCTGCTTTAATATGGAAATAAAACCCCCTCTGACCACTTGCCCCCAGTTGTCACCTACCACCCCACACTGGTACCCAAATGGGGTATCATTCAGCAATCACAACCCAAACTTGATGGGGACCACATCCTGAAAGAAAGCTTTCCTGAACCCCCTCTTCTGGCCTTCAAACAACCCTCCAACCTTGCCAAATTTATCACCAGAAGCCAGCTCCCCACAGACCAGGACCCGCCAACTCAAAGTGACATCAGACCCTGCCAGAACAACAGATGCAAAACCCGCAAACAGATCTCCACACAACACACCTTTCAAGACCCGTGGGACTGCCACATGCCTATCGCAATGTGCGCTGGACTTCAGGCAGCGCACCCAAATGCCCCAAGAGCAGCCATGTGGGTGAAACCAGACAATCGCGGGCGGCGCTCTTGAACGGACTGCAAGGACAAAAGACAAAACCACCCTGTCACCTGTGGGCGGGCACTTTTCACAAAGTGATCACTCCATATCTGACCTCTCCGTCCTCGTCCTCAAAGGAAACCTGCACAACCCTTTCTCAAGCCGACCCTGGGAGCTTAAATGGACAACTTCACTAAAACGCCCAAAATCGTGGGCTTAATAAGGACACTGGATTTATGGCTAGTCCAACAATCTGTAACCCGCTAACCCCCCTTTTTTGGCCTACGACTGCAGGGGTGTTAAGAAGCCACTTCCCCTTGACGGGTGCCTTAGAAAGTGTCCAACCTCCTTATGCTAAACAATCCGCCCCCCGTTGTATTTGGCTGTGACTCTCGGAGCACCTTTCCCAGGCCTGGAGAAGAAGCTCAAACGCTCGTCTCTCTCTCTCTCACCAGGAGAAGTTGGTCCAATAAAAGATATGATCTCGCCCACCTTAGTGCTCAGATAGATGGGGGCGGGCAGATGGGGGGAGAGAGAGACAGTGCGTCAAGGTGACAGGAACCTGAATTTGTGTCACCGTCAATAACCACGTCTGCAGCGCCACCTGTGGGCCGGGCTGCGTGTGACAGCCGTTCAGCCCCACCCTACCGCTAAAGGAGGGTACCGGCGACAACACAGGTCACGGGAGTATTTACAGTGGATTCAGCGCTGGGGCGTGGGCCGGCTCGGCAGCCTCCTGTGTCTCCCCAGGATGGGACAAGCCCCCCAACACACACACAGCCCCCCCCAATGACATGCCCCCAGCACAAACACCCCAAGGGGTTTTCCTCCCCCCAGAGGTGAGCGCCCTCCCGCACTCCCTGCCCCATCAGCAGGAACCTGTGCCACTCACCACACTGTTGTTTACATAGGACCTACGGGAAGTGCTGCTCCTCAGAGGCAGGTTCAGCTCTGACAGGATCGATATGGGGTAGCCTGGACCAAGGGGGCTGGCCAGATCAGGCTAGCTATAGGGTCAGGCGAGCATGGGGCAGATTTCAGCCCAGTTGTGTGTCTGGGGCATTACAGCCCTGACTGGCCTCACAGCCCCTCCTCTTCATACAGGGAGAAAGCAAGGGACGTGGTGTCCCTGAGGCCACACACACAATCAGTGGGTGAGTCAGCCACAGAACCCAGGAATCCTGGCACCCATCCCCCTGCTCTAACCTTCCCGTCTCCTCTAACCACTAGACCCCGATCACACCCCAGAACAGAATGGAGGAGTCCTGGTTTCCAGCGCCCCCCCCCCATCACTAGACCCCATTCCCACCCCACCACTGGGAACAGAAGCCAGGTATCTTCGCTCAGTTCCCACTGCAATAACAAGCCAACCCTGGCATCCTGGGTGAGTGCCAGCCTGGAGGATTGCACCCAGCATCCTTAACTCCCAGTGCAACTTTCACGGGGGTCTGGGAGTCATAGAATCTCAGGGTTGGAAGGGACCTCAGGAGGTATCTAGTCCAACCCCCTGCTCAAAGCAGGACCAATCCCTAGACAAATTTTTGCCCCAGATCCTTAAATAGCCCCCGCAAGGATTGAACTTACAACCCTAGGTTTAGCAGGCCCATGCTCAAACCACTGAGCTATCCCTCCCTGCCACTTCTGGCCCCGAACAACTGCCACAACCCACACCAGAGGTGGCTGCATGACAGGGGGCAAGGCCCATCCGGGAAAATTCACCTCCATTCCCAAGAGCATCCTGGGAAATGTAGTTTTTAAGGTCCCAGGGCATCCTGGGAGGTGTAGTTTTTTAAAGTCCCACAGTACCCTGGGAAGTGAAGTTTGGTGGCCTCAGTGCATCCTGGGAAATGTAGTTGGGGAGGCCCAGTGCCTCCTGGCTGCATTAGTTTGCACAGGGGAGCAGTCAGGGGGTGTCAGCTCAGCCTCCGCCCCCTCCCACCTAATGAGCTGACATTCTGGACAGCAGGATGCCTTGGGGTGCGAGGGGGAGGGGACCAGTTGTGTTTTGTTCATCCTCCCCCCCCACCCCAGCCCAAGGCCCCTCCCCCATCAGAGGCCCTCCCCCACCTTCAAGTAGAGCCCCTTCCCTCATGTGAGCTGCAACTGCAGAGGCCTGTCCTCCTGGGGCCCCACAGCAAGGCTCCCTCCCAGGGCTCCCCCCCCCATAGCTGTGGCAGCTGGAAAGGTGACTGACCCCCCAGTCCCTCCCCAGGTACCGGTTACAGGTACTGGCATGTGCTGGCGGAGGCCAACCCAAGACTTAAGTCCCACCCAGCTTCCCCCAAGCGAAGGGACCACAAAGTCCAGGCCAACTGAATGCGGGGGACAAAAACTGGGAGAGCTGGGATGGGAGGGGAGGTCACGGGGCTCCAGAGGGGGACCCCGAGCAGAGGACCCAGGACGGCTCCCGCCGCGCCCCAAAAGGAGCCAGTGGACGCTGCCCAGAGAAATGCTGTCCGGAGCTGGGATCCACGAAGGGACCGGGCCCGGGCCCCACAGTCACAGGGCACCCCCTGCCCAGCTGCACCCTCCTGGCCCAGCGGCTCGGCCGTCATGGGCAGTGCCAGGAGGGGGCTCATGAGGGGGTCACTGACGTGACAATGGAGACACTCTGCCCAGAACCTCAGCGGGAGGCACCGGACGAGCCGGAAACGGGGCTGCCGCCTGGTGCACTCAACATGTTCAGCAGAAACAGAGGGTGGCAGGATTGTGGGTGAGCCGCGCCAACCACCCGCCTGCGCTCATCAGCCTATGGAGAAGCCGCCAGCGGAGGGCGGAGGGACTAGGGCAGGGTACAGGCTGGCCACTAGGGCAACCTGCCCTCTGCAGGGGGCAACAGGTCCTGCCACCCAGTGCCAGGGCAGGGCACGAGGGCTGGGACGGTGCAGAGCCTGCCTTGTGGGGCAGAGGCCCAGTTACGAACGCCAGGGGGCTGGGGCAGGCAGGGACCCAAGCCTCATGTACGTTTCCCAGCAGCAGCCTATGACTCTGACGCTGGCCCTGGGTCCCATCACCGTGCCCCACCACAGCTGCATCTCAGCACCGGGGGAGGGATCCTCGTATCAGCAGCCCCTGGGTCCCACCCCAGCAGCGGCTGCATCTCAGCACGTGCAAGCCCAGTGGCAGTGCCGTGGTTGGCACAGGTGCCACGCTGCTACCCTGCAGTCAGGGCCGGCTCCAGGCACCAGCTTGGGGCAGCCGCTCCGGAGAGGGGCGACAGGTTCAGCGATTCGGCGGCAATTCGGCGGACGGTCCCTCACTCCGCTCGGCGCGAAGGACCTCCCGCCGAATTGCCACCGCAGATCACCAGGGGCTGGCGCTGCCCGACAGCGCTATGGGCAGAGGGAGGCGCTGTGCACAGCTAGAGGGGGTGGGGGGGCAGTATAGGATCCCCCAGCAAGTTATAGCCCTCCCTACCAACGGGCAAGTGGCTGGGAGGGATGTGCAGCTGGGAGCGATCTGCCATGGCTGGGGGGGAGGAGGAGGGAGACCAGGGTAGATGGGCCCCCAGGTCTGATCTGGTCTGTGCTGCTTAGGATCTTGGGGGAGCCACCCAAACAAACAGGGGCGCATCCCCCCAGAAACATGTTTATTATTTTAAAAGTCTCCGGCAACGGATACACGATAGAAAACCCCCCAAGCGCCCCAAGGGGCAGAAATCTGTACAAATATACATGGGGAGGGGGCAAGCGAACATGGGGGGAAGGGCCCCAGGGAGGGGAGATGAAAACCCACACCTGCTCCCAGCCACCCCCTTCCCCCCAGCACCCCTCAGTTCATCTTGACCAGGATCTGTTCGGAGAAGAACTTCTTCAGCTGAGCCACCTCGGCCGACAGGGATGCCAGCTGGCTCCGGAGGGCGCCGTTCTCCGTCTGGTACCCGGGCTCCTGGAGTGGGAGGGGGGGCGACCCCCCAGTGCCGTAGCACCCCCCAAACAGCGCAGCCCCCACCCCTGATGCTGCTGCCCCGTTCCTTTGGTCCTCCCCTCCGGCTGCGCCCCCCCGCCAGTCCCCGGCGGGCGGCGACGGGGCATAGGGGGCTTGGGCCTCGCCCCCCCATCTCCTGGGCCCCCCGGCCATCTTGAAGCGCAGCTTGTGGGGCAAGCTCTTGACGGCATCCCCCGCCGGGTCATAGCGCCCCCCCCGGCCTGCCTCCCCCTCCTCCCCGGGGGCCTCGGGCACCAAGCAGTGCCCCTCGAACCCGTCCCGCTCCTCAAAGAAGACGGGGCTGCCCATGCTGGAGCTGCCGGGCGTGGAGAACCCGGAGTCCTCGGAGTACCCCCCGCCCGCCTCCGGCTGGAAGGGGCGGCCGTAGCGTGGCGGTGGCGGCAGGGGCTCGGTGCCCAGCGGGTACGGGTAGGGGGCGGGCGCAGCGGCCGGCCTCGGGGGCTCAGCCGGCTCGCGGATGAGGCCGAAGCGGAACTTGAGGGCCAGGAGCTCGGCCTTGAGCCGGGCGTTCTCCTCCAGCAGCGCCAACACCCGGCTCTCCAGCGCCAGGTCGTTGACGCGCCGCTTCTCCCGCGAACGCTTGGCCGCCTCGTTGTTCTTCTTGCGCTTGTCCCAGTAGCCGTCGTCCTTCTTGTCCTCCGGGGTGAACTCCCGCTTCCGCCGAGCTGCGCCCCCCGCGGCCGGGTCCTGGGGCCTGCCCCCGGCCACCAGCAGCCTGCTGCCCGTCAGGGCTGTGGAATCCTCGGCGAAGCAGGACACGGCAATGCAGAGCCTGGCGGGGCCTGGCGAGGGCGGGCGAGGTGGTTCCTCTGGGGATGAGCTCATGGCGCCAGGGGACGGGCCACGCCTGGCTACAGGGGGAAAAGGGGGGGTTAGCGTGTGTCAGGTGATGTGTGGAAGCTAATGGGGGGTGAGCCTGGCGGACGTCCCTGTGGGTGTGTGCAAGTGTTTGTGAGCACGCATTTGCGTGTGTGACAAGGTGTGTGTGTGATGGTGTCTGTGCTTGTGAGTGCACACTTGTGACTGTATCTGGGTATGCGACAGCGAATGTGGCTGTGCTTGTGTTGGGTGTATCACAAGCATGTGAGTGTATGTGTGTGTGTGTGTGTGCGCGCGCACACTTGGCCTGAAGCTGAAGTTTGTGTCATATGTAAATAATTTTATATATCCAAATTAGTTCCATACATAATTTGCATGAATGTCACTTATGGGACTGCACAGCCCCTCCCCCTGGCCTCCTCCCTCCTTGTCTGTCAGGTTGTCACACACACACACACACACACACACACACACACACACAAAATCAGCCTAACACAACCATGGCCACAAACCCTGATCAGCCTAACACAACCAATATTGTGTATGTCTAGACAGTATTTGGTCCTGCCATGCGGGCAGGGGACTGGACTCGATGACCTCTCGAGGTCCCTTCCAGTCCTAGAATCTATGAATCTATAAAACCACACACTGATTAGCCTAACACAACCACACACACACACTGATCAAGAGCACCTTACCTCTCTCTCAGACACAACACAGAGTCACACTCAAACACTGTCCCATACGGTCACACAGACACGCACAACCCTCGTAACAGACGCACGATGCACACACAGTCACACGTACACACACACAACACCCCCGCACACACACGCTTGCATGGACGTAGACAGGGATAGATCCGCCAAGCCTCACCCCGCCCGCCCTCTGGCGCAGGCCAGACTCACTCCGGGAACCCGCCCAGCTCTGGCCGGCTGTGTATGGTGCGGAGCACAGCCGGGGGACTCACAGCCATGTAAAAGCCCCGTGGATTCACCCGGGGCGGGAGCTGAACTCAGAATCCGGCCCTGGCATCCCATATCCCCCCTG